AAGTGAGTAGCAGGAGTCAGAACTTAAAGGGAGGGAAGGAGATTGCAGGCTGGGAGTGTGTGTGTGGGGGGGAAACCCCAAATTTTGTGTTTGTTTTATCATTCTAATTTAGTTCCCAGGTGGTGAAAATAACCCAAACACTTGGATATTCTTCTCCGGCTCGGTTAAGGATTATGTCAGCCTGATTTTGGCTGCAAAGAGTGAGGGAAATATGTATGATGAGGGCAAATGCCCAAGTTTGTTGGCAGGAGGAGTTTCAGCTTGCGTCTCACTTAGAGGAGGAGATTTTGGTGAAGAGATGGAATCGGTACCTCTTGCTGCGCTGTTCTTTCTAGCAAGAGGCAGGTGCAGTTGTCCACATGTCCCTCCCCTTGCTGTATTTCTGAGTTGCCCCAGTCAGGAGAAGATTTACAGGGATTTTGTATCAAGAGAAACCCATTGAATGGCTGCAAGATGAGAGGGTCTTGGGTACAACAACCCCATGCAGCGCTACAGGCTTGTGGAAGAGTGGCTGGAAAGTTGCCCGGTGAAAAAAGGCCCTGGGGGTATTTAAAAGATGTGTAGGTGCAGCAGTTAAGGACATGGTTCAGTGGTGGACTTGGCAGTGTTAGGTTACAGTTGGGCTCGATGATCTTCAAGGTCTTTTCCATCCTAAATGATTCTGTGATACTAAAAGCATTAAAATAAATAAATACATGGCCACTCTCCCCCCAACAACCTGGGAATGAAGATAAGAAATCTACATACAAGCATTCTAATGCTTTGTTTACTTTGGGAAGTCTATGTCCTGAAAATTTCAAGTTGGACTGCTTTCTATATGATTAGACAGAGTTGTATGAAGCTTTTCTTAAACTGTTCTAGGATAACTCAGTCATGCCATGTAGTGTGTGTCCTGTTTTGTGTAGCTTTGCTGTAGGTCATGTAGATTTGGTTCAGGATTCAGCCAGAAAACTCTGTTTGGAGAAGCAGGGGCAGGGCAAATATGTCTGTACTGAATGGCAGCCTGGGGAAACCACTGCTTCAACAGGTTGGTTGGGAATTCACATCACACAATGATGATTTTAGTGGATGTTGTGATAGATTCTCCTTCAAAATGTTGCAGAATTACAAAAATCCCTGCTTGTGGTTGAGAAGACTCAGCAGCCAGACACTGAAACTGAGCAGTATTTTGGGCTGCTTTCTAAATTGCAATGGAACATTGGTCACGCAGGAAGAAAAACAACAGGCAAGTGATAGGGATTAATTAAGCCATAACTTTATTAGCTCACTTGGGAGTGATCTGGCAATAGAATATACAGTGCAGGTCATGTATCTTTGACAGTTTACAGTCAGACAAGGAAACAAAGTCTAGGGCCCTTTAGTTGCCCTTACGCCTGCACAAAGGCCACAAGAGCAAGAGGTTCTCTCATTTCCTGTACCAAAAGCTGTGTGCTCTAACTATGTTGAGTGCATTTATACACCTCCCATGAAACAGATATTTGCTGTGGCCATTGCTGGCTCTCAAAATGAAACCAGTTCAACATCAGTGTATATTCAAGAGGGTCCCTGACCTCCCCCCTGTAGAATAACTTCAGTTGGAAGGGACCTGGGACGATCTCATTCAACCTTCTGCTCACAGGAGGGTTAACTTCAAAGCTAGATCAGGTTGCTTACAGCCCAGTCCAGTCGAATTTGCTGTGTATGGTGTGCAGACAGGGCAGTACAGCAGCAACAGCACTTTAACAGCTACGTGATGGTTGCTCAGGGCGATGGTGATGTGGACAGGATTGTATTCTCACAAAAAGGGACCTGTTAGGGAAAGAAAAAAAAGAACAAGGAAGCCAGAGTGCAACCCACAGGGCACAGCAAATGAGACATAGCAGTTGCAGGAGGAGTGCAAAGAGGCTCAGAAATTCCACTCAAGACTGTGTGGGTCTGCTTGAAGACTGTACAATGGTAGTCTCGACGTGCTGCAGGACATACCAGCCAGCACACGGACATCCATTAAGATGTAGTAGTAGTCCACAGGACTACCATTAGCACATCAGAGTCCTTGGCTCCAGAGGGAGGAGCCCTCTATGCAGGTGCTGTGCTGGAAAGTGCTTCTTCCTCTCCCTGGAGGTCAGGGCAGTGGTGGCCTCTCCTGTGGGACATGTTCTGTCGTCAAGGCCCTGAGGTACCAGATTAAGGGGGAAGATGAAGAGGACACTGACATGGTATTTGTGGAAAATGCAAGCTAGACAAGGTGAGGAAGGAGTGACCGCTGGAGACCAAGTGGACAGAAGATATCAAGATGGAGAAGGCTGGAAGCTTGTGACTTCTGGCAACAGGAAAGAGTTGCAGATCTCTTCCACCTGCAGATCTCCAATTTCAGAATAGGTATAGTACTCTGCTTGATGGTGAGGATCAACAAGACCCATCAGAGTCAGCTAAGCCTGAACTTAGTGTCCACACAAAAAGGGAAAAATTAGTGACACGTAGCACTACCTGATGCTATGGAGACAGGTAGTTTCTTTTAAGGATCCTGGGTACAATCAGAACTGGCCACAGGTTTGTAGTTATAATTAGTATAATTAGAGCTTTATTATTATAGAAAGATTTCAGTAGTCAGCATAGCTTATTGTTACTCAGAATATCTATCAGTTAGGATAGCTTTCCTGTTACCTAAAATTGCAGAAACCTATATTTTTCAGTCACCTGGACAGATATGTTGGGAGAAAGCTGTTGAAAATTCAGGAACAAGCAGAAAGTCAGGCTTTCTGGGGCTTGAGGAAAATCCCTATTCTGCTGCCAGAAATCTGCAGCGTTCTTCACCTATGTTTAGTGTGGACTGTGCTTATGAGTGCAGGTTACACTTTGGTTTTGTACAGTTAACTGGGAATTCAGTTTAAACTGAATTGCTTGGTTCCCAATATTGTTCAGCTGAGGAGGAAGGAAAAGGCAGCTAGAGTCGATTCCAAACTGCAGGTTAGTAGGAATAGAGTCAGAGCCTAGGAGGCTCGGGCAATTCATACTGAAGACTTAGCCTCCATCCCCCGTCTCCTCTGGCCAGAGGAGCCAAGGAGCTTCCTTTCCCTGAGAAAATCCATGAAGCAGGAGAACACTCACACAAAACCTTCTCCTGTTGACCTTGGACATAGCTCTATATATGAAATAAACAAGGGAAAGGTAAAATACCTCGAAGAGGAGCCTCGTAGTTATTCCCATCCAAAATCTCCACAAAGTCTGTTGTACAGTTTTGTCTGTTGTTTTCAATATCAACGTCAGTGAACGAGAGTGTAACGTGGTTGACTGGCAACAGCAAAGAGTGAAAACTTAAAACAAAGTTTGGTATTTCACAGAAAAAAAATTACATGTAAACAAATGTACCATCTTCTCTTTTCTCCCCTGAAGTCAATCAGTCCCCATAAAGCATAACATACAAAGTTAGTTTATTCCCTGGTATGTGGAGTGAATTTGATGGAAGTGCATTAATCCTTACTGCAAAGGTCCTGGTAAATCTCTTCATATTTCAGTACTTTCAAGTACAACTGACATTAGAAGCGTAGGATTTAACACATACACATGAATCTAAATTTCCCAATATCTGAACAGTTTCATTGTATACTGACAATATCAGCAAATACAACATGGAAAATTCACACACATTCAGAAA